GTACAGGGCTGGGGATGCGGGGGTACGGGGGTACTGGGCTGGGGATGCAGGGATGCGGGGGTACGGGGTACAGAGCTAGGGATTCGGGGATGATGGGGTACAGAGCTAGGGATTCGGGGGTACAGAGCTAGGGACGCAGGGATGCGGGGGTACAGGGCTGGGGATGCAGGGGTATGGAGCTAGGGATGCAGGGGTATGGGTATGGGGATGCAGGGGTATGGGTATGAGGATACAGGGGTATGGAGCTGGAGCTGTGGGCTGCAAGAGTGCAAGGCGCTGGGATGCGGCGGTACAGAGATAGGGATGCAGGGATATAGGGCTGGGGATGTGGAGATAAGGAGCTGGGGATGCAAGCTGTGAGAGTGCAGGGCAGTGGGATGTGGGGGTACGGAGCTGGGGATGCAGGGGTATGGGGCTGGGGATGCAGGGGTGTGGGGATGCAGGTTGCAAGAGTGTAGGGCGGTGGGATGCGGGGGTACAGGGCTGGGGATGCAGGGATTTGGGGCTGGGGATCTGGGTTGCAGGAGTGCAGGGCTGTGGGATGTTGGGGTACAGAGATAGGCATGCAGGGATGTGGGGGTGCAGTGCTGGCGATGTAGGGATAGGTGCTTATGGGGCTGGGAAGGTGGGCTGCTGGGGTATGGGGCGGTGGGATAGAGATATAGGGCTGGGGATATATGCTGCAGGGATACAGGGTATTGGGATGCAGGGATACAGGGCTGGGGTTGCAAGTTGCGGGGGTACAGGGCAGCAGAATGCAGGGGTGCGGGGCTGGGGATGTGGGTTGCAAGGGTATGGGGTATTGGGGTGCAGGGATACGGGGCTGGGATTGCGGGCTGAAGGGATACAGGGCGTTGGGAGGTGCGATGCAGGTTGCAAGGATATGAGGCAGCGGGACATGGGATGCAAGGATACGGGGCTGCACTAGCCAGGCTGCAAGAGAGCAGGACTGCGGGATGCAGGCTGCAAGGAAATGGGAGCGAGGGAGCTGGGTTGCACGGATGGGGTGCTGCGGGCTGCAGGGATAGGGCGCTGCAGGGCTGCGGGCTGCAAGGATAGAGGGCTGCGGGACGTGAGCTGTCGGGGTGTGGGGCGAAGGGGTGCTGGCTGCAGGCTGCAAGGATGCCGAGCTGGGGGATCGAGGGCTGTGGGGTGCGGCGCTATGGGGCTGCAGGATACAGTGTTTGGAGGATGTGGGAATACGGGGCTGCGGGATGTGAGGATACAGAGCTGCAGGGAAACGGGGCTGCGGGATGCAGAGGGGCAGGGCTGCGGGGTATGCAGCTGCGGGCGATGGGGCCCCGAGGCTGCAGGATGCGGGATGTGGGAACACGGGAAGCAGGATACGGGTAGAGGGAGCCGCAGGATGCGGGACTACGGGAAGCAGGATATGGCCAGATGGGGCAGCAGGAT